GCATTAGTAAGAGTAATTATAATATATAGTATAGTAACTAAAGTTTTATTTTCAAAGCTTGAGCACAATAACTAGAAGTGATTGCAATTTTAGCAGTTATAAGCAGTTAAATTTATTTTTGCAATGATTTTGTTGTGTAAAAATGATGCTTTCGAACTGCTCAGGAAGGGAAGAAGGCAGAAGGAATTGCACACTTTTTAAATTTAAACTACTGCTATTGCAACCACCTCTGACAAATCGTTAATAGTTTAAAGCGACGACTTTTTGACATTATTGAAATATTTAGGAGAAAAAGAGTTGTACCTTGTTCAAGAATTTTAAATTAAGTAAAAGGTGGAATGCAGTCAATGAATACTCTAAAAGATTCTTGAAAATCCACCAAAAATGTGTACATTAAATGAATTATTTTAAAGTAAACATATTAGAGATAATTAACTAGTGCACAACAGAAACGTGATTGCGCAAGATTGCTTTTGAGATAACTATTGGATATCATACGTCTTGCTTCAGTTGCTAGCATTTGATTTACCGACATATGAAGTTTTAGGAAGAATTTTTTGAAATAAATGTAGGACAGTTCTTTAGACAACCTGCAAACTGCTGACAGACACATCTTATTAAGCTTAGTATGAATCTAACTGGTGTTTTAAGACTTAAGATTGAAGAAAGGTTGAGATTTTTATCAGTTAGGACAGTTATCATGACGACACGAAATTTCAGATTGACTTAATATAGGTAAATTAGATGTGCTTGTAATAAACATGGTTGTCATTAATTTGTGATTATTGTATATTAGCGAAGCAATTTTTTTTTCATCCTTGTTTACTGCATTAGCTATTTATTCCTATTCAGATTCTTATTATTTGTCGCAAATGGAATGAAAATCTGTTGCTTTTAATATATAGTGCGCTTATTATTTTTAAACATAATTATGATCTGTTTTTTAATTTTTTGCCTGGAATTTCAGATTAATATCAATTTGTTGCCCTCGGAAACTTTTACATACAAAATAACGATGATTGCTCTTTTCGCTGGACGTCTGCAATTCCCTAAGCTTATAATTCGGAGTTCAGTTTTGGATGCAGTATTATTAGATGAAATTACAAAACTTTCGACTCCTGGCTCTGTATTTGTTTTAGTAAGATTTTTTACTGACTTCTTCTTAATTAATTTCTAACTTATGTTGATAAATTGAGTTTTGCATTTCCAACTATTTTCTAACATAAGTAATTCCAACTAGGAAATTAAAAATTCATGAGGTATTATTGTCAATTTAAATCTGACTTTTCGGAACTGTAATTAAGCGTTTTTCACAAGGCATTTCTTTTTTCAATTTGTTTTGAGAAATTTCATAAACTGTAATCAATAATGTTCACAATTTTTAAGTCATTTTATCTCAGTTTTTGTGTTTTGAATTCAGTTGATAAATAATAGCATTAGCTGAATGCTGTTCGTTTGTTTGGCACTTTAAGCAATTGTTTATAGAATAGAGAAAAGATCGGAATTTGATAATAAAACCTTAATGACATTTGCTTCTTTAATAATTGTTATTGAAAATCAAAATGTTACTTCGTTCTAGCCTCTCACGTAAACTATCGTATGGAATGCTGTTTGTTGCCTAATAGCATTATTTTTCTTTGCTGCCATTATTCTGGATGTGAACATGCTTATTGTGAAGTATCAGAAAATACGATGATATTAATGGTGATGGAAGAAAAAAATGATGATGGTGATAAAAAATAATTAGCTAGTTTTTGTTTATATTTATGAGCTTGAGCTAGCATTTATCTTATTTTATTGATTTCAAATAATGGGGTTTTTTAGTATGCACAATTGAATTTTTTCTTGTGGTCATATATTGTTAGTTAAATTTGGAAAATCACAGGAAAGTCAATAATAAATTAGTAAGATTACTAAAAAAGTGCTTATAGCATTTTCTGTCTTATGCTGAAAGTCAAAATGGGCACAAAATAAAAGGACAAATATTTGTACTACATTGTAGTATCTGCGAATTGGAAGATATAAAAGAACTTTAAGATGGTAAATAGCAAACAAAATTGCAATAGTTTACCATGAATTAACTGAAAGCAGTGATAGGAAAATGTATCAAAGTTTACCACTTACGTCCTACTTGTAATCACATGGATTGAGTTATCATTAGCTTATCGTGAAGATTGTGAACTTTGTTACTTGCTTATTTTTTGCCTAACAATAATTTTAACACTTACGTATTTTTAAATTAAATAAGGAGCTAATTCTTCTATTACTTCCCAGAAATTGATTTTTCAGTACAAAAATTTCCAGTCATCATCTCACAATTAATGGTTGTTAGAAAAAAGTACACGTAAGTTTTACTTCAACTGACTCTTGAGATGAACTTCCTTTCACATAAGAGTATTGTCATAATTAATCTCTTGCACTGCTATCAAGCAGTTACAATATTTTCATTATTACATTTATTATTGTGATTGTTATCATTGGTACTGCTTTTCAATTATTTGCGAATAATTAAGTATCATAACTTTTATGATGTGTCTCTAAAAAATTATGTTTACTTTAGTTTTCTTGCTTTGTTATTCATTTATTTCTTACTTAGAACATGTTAATATCATATTATCATTGTCATGTAATATCATATTATCATTGTTCGTTCACGATGTTTGTGCAAAATGTATCAAGACTCCTCTTAGATTAATTTTTTGAAGTTATTCAGCGTCAGCTGAAAAATTATTATTATTATTATTATTCGTAATATCATAATAATCGGAAGGTAATAATTTGTGGCACACATTTTATCATCATATTCTTCACAGTAAGATATTATTTATTGTCTCCATGTTCTTGCAATATTTTCGAAGACTCATAATACACACTGTTGTTGTTGTTTTTTCTTTTAAACAAAATTTATAACAGATTTTTCGATAACAATGCCAACATTAACATGCTTGTTTATTGCTTTCTTCACTTCTGAACTTTCGCTATTTGTCTTTTTGTTACTGTTTGCATAAATATTTGATAAGATAATTCCTCAGAAGTGACAAAATAAAAAGAAAGATAAGCATACACATACACATACACACACACACGCACACACACACACACACACACACACACATACAATACATGTGATGAATTGAGATTGAAGGAAGTGGAACTGACGAGATGAGTGAATTTATTTGATAAAGGTTATCTATCTATCATTAGGCAGTGTCGTTTGGGAGAAGAAGTGGATGCAGAAGAGCAGAAGAGGTGCGTTAGAGAAGAGAAGGAGGAAAAATGATTCGTAAGAAAAGTAAGCAATGTGATATTTTCTTGGCTGCAAGTAACTGATTGCTAATGGTAGGATAGTGCTGATTGATTGGTATATGAGCTAGAAGTAAGATAATTAATAGAAAGAAGAATATTTGTTGAGATCGTCAGGTATTGTCGATATTATATACTTTGTCTTGCATTGCAATTAGCAGCATCACCAATGATAAATAATCAGTGTGTGATTGCTGAAATAAAGTAATACTAATGGTAGCAGAAGTGAGTTTTGGTTTCATATTACTTTGGCTACTGATAGTAGTAGTGTATGTACGTACATTATATTTCAGTTGTGTACGGAGATGAAGTTAAATGACAAAGATGACGATGATAAGTATGACGAGGTTTTGGAAAAAGAAATGGAAAAAGTTGAAAGACAGGTGGCAATGATGATGATTGATGATGTTGGTGTTGATAATGATAGTGGTGATGATAATAGTGATGGTAATGGTAATGGTAATGGTAATGGTAGTTTGGTGGTGGTGGTGCTGCTGATGATGATGATGGTGGTGGTGGTGTATGTTGTGAGGAAAGTGGGCGTATTGACGTGTATATGTTGCGGGTTGGTTGGGTGGTAATTGTTTGGTTTGCTAGCTGATCGAGGGATCGAATCCAAGTGGAATGACGATATTGCTGATTGCTGCATCGATGTTATTAATGCTAAATTTGTTAAGCAGTCCATCATGGTATGGTATAAGTGCTTGGCGTCTTCATGCGAATCATAGTTGCCATGGTTGTGCTGAAGCTCGTGATGAATTAGCAAAAATGCGTTTGGAACAAATTAAACGTGAAATTTTGGAAAAACTTGGATTAGATGAACCTCCACAAGTACGACCACAATATAGTTTTCCAGTTATACCTCAAGTTGCTAAATATTTAAAACATTATCATTATCATCAACATCACCAGCAACATCAGCAGCAGCAACATCATCACAATCAGCATCAACAAGAACAGTTATCACGACATGATTCCACTGTAATATCGTCAATGTATACAACTTCATTTCTGGCTGATGAATTGATGGTACCAGAACGTAAAACAGAGCGTACAATAGTGCTTGCTGAGCGTACACCTTCACGACTTGTAAGTGTGGATTTGATACTAGCGCATTTCAAATTCTCACATGAACTCATGTCAAAACCATTACTTTCCGCTGTACTTAACGTTTACCTACGCAAACCAACAAAACTTAACGTAGATTCACGTATTGCTGCGGTACAAATACTTGTCAAAGAAGTGCTCGCTAATGCTACGGTATTTTTTTTATTTTTCGTTTTTTTATTCTAAAGTTTATACTTACTTTAATTACTGTATTCATGCATTAAAAATTACATTACTTTAGTACTGTTTCACTCATACAGTGAATTATGAGATTGTTAACAGAAGAAAGAACTTTCTCGCAGTGCTTTGGAAGAATTTTGAAACTTTTTGCAAGAAAACTCAATATATTATTTCATTACAGATGGAAGGAGTATTGAACACATAGCACATTTAATCAAAAAGATTTGTTCTGATATTTTGACTCTTTTTTGACTTCTTAATTCACTAATGATGTTAGCCGATAGTTGGTTTGATACTGTATTGTTGGGATCGTGTACGCTATCTGGTCTCTCTTTTGATTAATTAATTAATTTATTTATTTAAATTAGTCAAATTTTCAGTAACTCAGTCTAATATATCCATCAGTTGCTGCTTTTTTAAAGAAACGAATTTTTAACTGCAAGAATTTGTAAAAAAGTAGCACAGAGATTGATTCTCAAAATCAATTTATTTAATTTTCTCTTTTTGTAATCTTTTAAATATAAATTGATTGCTTCTGGAAATGATTGGAATAAATCGTTGCTGAGATCGATCATTCTTTATTCTTTCATCTTATCGCAGCTGATAAAAAATAAGCTTCCTTCTGCACTTTCATAAACTCCTGCGACTTCTTTGGTCTCGTAATATTTCATTCAATTACTTAATTAATTGTCGAAATTAATTACTGTCATTCGCAGTATACATAAATGGTTACTTTTTGAGTAATAATTTTATTTTTAGAAGCATTTATTTTATAGTTATTATTGTTGAAAAATTTACGGCATCATTGCTTATTGCTTCCTAAATAACTTTTATTCACTTCTGCTGCTTAACTTGACTGCTGAGATAGCTCATTTCACACTTTATTTTTATGCAATATTTTTAGCAGAAACAATCATCACACTATTAGTGCTAACAATACTATTGTTGCTATAATTTTCAAAAATGATAGCAACAACAATAGTAGTCGAATAATTCTTCTTAATTTTGTAGTTTTAATGGAAAAAAGAATTTTGTGATTGTAAAGACCTTGCACGCTAATTTATGAATCTTCCTC